ATTGGATATCAATAAGATAAAAGCTCCGACAAATATCTCATATCTGAACCTTTACTCATCGCAACACCTACCATATGTGTGCGACCCTCTAGGCTCAATATCAAGCTGGTCGTGAGTCATATATGTCAGAACTCCTTCTGGCTCAGTGAATTATTATCTCCATAATAATTCACTCGACTCATCAACTGCGAACATACCAGGCCACTACGCTGTAGTCCCCAGACGACATAGGGGAATCCAATTTATTGAACTTGTCTGTCCTCAATTATCATATACCTATAGTCTCTCATCCATATAATATCCTAGAGACCGTATATCAGGTATGGTGCTGTCAGACCCATACAGTTTCTACTCGAGTCTCGCTCTAATCGGATTCTTCTATAGAACTCTTCCTCTCTCAATCCGAATAACCCTGACTAGGGATTTGTTTGAGCAAGAACACATAGGATATTCCTCTCATGACACCAAGAGTGGATGATTCTCTATCGACACTCAATAGCCTTTGTAAGGTTGACTATCACTCCCGATGACCAACTGTACTAGATCAGGGACATCCAAACCTATAAGTCTAGTATCAAAGAATGGAGCACTCATATAGGACATCCTTGGTATCTCAAGTTTAAGGACCAGATATACCACTGGGACTATGAAATCATTGTTTGACAATAAGGTATTATCAACCATTCAGCATTTCGTAAACGGATCAATTAGTGAACTCAATCTCCAATGAGCACATGTATTATATCCCTAGTGTCCCAACATGGGCAGCTATGAGACCAGCTGCATCCATCATATGGACGGGTATACAACACACCACTCTATCCGATTATCTCGATGTCTCTCTCGAGTAACCTATGACCGGAATTATTTAGGATCTATGTTTAAAGGCGAACCGATCTCATTATCATGATCTCATCACGATCCGATTCTCATTGCACAGATCTAAGGACATCACAATATATACATGCATATATGTAATAGTCAATATAAAGTAATAAATGCCAAAATATAATAAGCAAAAAAATTACGTGTCAAGTCACACGTCGAAGCTCAATAAAGGTTATTTTATTATGGCTAGTAGAAAGAAATGTCACACCTTATATAGGTTGCAAGCTAAAGCTTGTGGTGAGCAACTGAATGCTACAGAGAAAGATTTCAGCATGGAGTTGTGGCATATGCGACTAAGACACATGAGCAAGAAGGGGCTACAAGATTTTTCCAAGAGAGAGGTATTACCAGACCTCGGAGGTACAAAAACTCCTGGTAGATCGTGTTTAGGTATATGTATGTAGTCTTTTGAGGACAAAAACTCCTGGTAGATCTGTTAATGTTCCTGGCATCAATGGTGCACTTTATTTTGTCACTTTTATAAATGATTTTTCAAAAAAAGTTCAGGCCTATGCTATGAAGACCAAAGATCAGGTTATTAATATCTTCAAAGAGTTTCATGCCAAAGTTAAAAGGGAGATAAAAAGGCAATTAAAATGCATAAGATCAGATAATGGTGGTTAGTATATAGGATTATTTAATTATTATTGTAGGTTACATGACATCCAACATAAGATAACAGTTCCTAGTACACCTCAGCATAATGCAATTGTAGAGAGGATGAAACACACAATCATGGAAAAGATCATATGTATGCTTTCACAGGCCAAGCTACCTAAAAGGTTTTGGGATGAGGCTTTGAGGACTGCAGTTGATGTGATCAACTTGTCACCATTACAGCCCTAGATAGTGATGTCGCATGGTATGTATGGTTAGGAAAAGATGTTTCCTATAGGCATTTGAGAGTATTTGTTATCATTCATTTGCACATGTTCCAAATAATGAAAGATCTAAACTAGATGGTAAGAAAAAAGAATATAATTTTCTTGATTACTCACATGATCAATTTGGTTACAGGCTTTGGGATCCAGAAAAGTATAAGGAGTTTAGAAGCAGAGATGTGGTCTTCTTTGAGGATTTAAAGAAGAAGGCACCAGCCAAGACTTCTGCAGAAGGATTAGCAAATTGTTATCCAGTTACTTCTCTAGTATATTAGGGTGATGATGGGGGAGATGTGCAAGAAGATGGTGTAGAGCCTGATGTTAATCTACCTGCAGGACATGTTGAGCAAGAAGGATTTGGAGAGTAACTTCCCGTAGAATCTTAGTTGAGAAGATCTTCTAAATAACGTCAACCTTTCAGAAGATACTCTACAGATGAGTATATGATGCTTACTGATGTAAGTGAACCAGAGAATTACCAAGAAGCAGTTGAAAGTAAACAGAAAAAGAAGTGGTTAATTGATATGTAGGAAGAGATAGATGCTCTTCAGAAGAACTACACATATGATTTGGTGCTATTACCAGATGAAATGAAAGCCTTGAAGAACAAGTGAATTTTCATGTTAAAGACTCAAAAATATTGTTCTCAACCAAAGTACAAAACTAGATTGATTGTGAAAGGTTTTGGTCAAAAGAAATATATTGACTTTGAAGATATTTTTTCTCCTATTATTAAAATGTCTTATATTCGTGTTGCTCTTGGTATTAGATGCGAAGACAGCTTTCTTTCATGGTGATTTGGAGGAAATTTATATGAAATAACCAGAAGGCTTCAAAATCAAAGATAAAGAAAATTTTATCTACAAGTTGAGGAAGAGCTTGTATGAGCTGAAGCAAGCTCTAAGATAATGGTACAGAAAGTTTAATTCATTTATAACAAAAAATAGATACAAAAAAACAGCTTCAAATCATTATATGGACATCAAATAATTTGATAAGAATTTTATTATTCTCTTAATTTATGTTAATGATATGCTTATTCTTGGAAAAGATATGTTTATAATTGACAGATTGAAGAAGGAACTAAGTGAATCTTTTGCAATAAAGGACATGGGGCCAACAAAGCAAATATTGGGCATGCAGATTTCCCGTGACAGAAAAAAATAATAAGATTTGGTTGTCACAAAAGAAATACATCGAGAAGGTATTGGAAAAGTTTAGTATGAGCAATTCAAAACCAGTTAGTTCTCCTCTTGTAGGTCACTTCAAGTTGTACTCAGAACAAAGTCCGTCAAGTGATGAGGAGAATGAGAAGATGCAAAATATTCCTTATACTTCAGTAATTATAAGTTTAATGTATGCAATGATATGTACGAGGCCGGACATCTATATGCAGTGGGTGTTACTAATATATTTCTTGTAAATCTAAACAAAGTGCACTAGGCAATAGTGAAGTGAATCTTTAAATATCTTAGAGGGAGTTCTAAAGTTTATTTAAGCTTTTGAGGTGGACCACCTGTGTTGACAAATTACACAAATGCAAATATGACAAGAGATCTAGATATGATGAAGTCCACATCATGTTTTATACTTACTTTTGCAGGGGGAGCTATGTCATGGTTATACATATTGCAAAGGTGTATTGCCCTCTCCACCACAAAAGCATAATATATTGCTACTACAACAAAGGTTTGAAAAGAAATGTTATGGATAAAATAATTCTTACAAGAATTAAAATTGAAATAGAAAAATTATATAGTGAATTGTGACAACTAGAATACTATCCATTTGTGTAAGAACCCAACTTTTCATTCCAAATCAAAACATATAGATGTTAGATACTATTGAATTCGAAATGTACTTGAAGAAAAACAATTGTACCTTCAAAAAATTCACACAAATGATAATAAAGTAAATATATTGACAAAAACCTTACCAAAAAAAATACAGAAGATATGCCAATAGTTAGTCAGCATGGCTTCACATTGAGGAGTCTTAGGACAACCTCTCTTATGGGCTAAAGGAAGAGGTTGTTGGGTTGACAACCTATAGTTTAGCCCATTGTGGGCTTTAACAGCCCACCCCCCATTCTCTAAACCCTAGATCCAAAGTAAGAGGGTGTAATAACTATGAAAATAGTAAGAAAAAACTATAGTAACGAGATAGAATACTACACCTATGTGATTCCAAAAAAAAAAGAGAACAAAGCAAAAAAAATAAAAAATAATAATAATAATAATAAAAGACAAAAACAACGCAAAAAAACTATTCTTAATCATTCAGATAAAATCTACAATAGATTCTTACTATGATTATTTAAGGAGAATTTAAATATTATACACAATGACATAATCTTTGTATCTCAATTATTTTTTTAAAATTATTACTATGATTTTGAACAAAAGATTAAGATTTATATATTCATTATTTTTATAACGAATTATCTCTAATTTATGCTATGAACAATTTTTATAATGGATTATCTGTGATTGAGAAAAAAATTTCACGTAAATTCTATTTGATTATGATTCTATTTAATTTTACTACATAATATGCTAATATTGATTATGATTCTATAAAACAGTAATGTGACAGAAGAGGGTGGAAGATGAGTTCTTCCTTTCAGCAAGTCCACTCCTGAGATGGGCTGCTGAAGATGATTTCTTTCACCATTAGATTTTCTTGCTGCCTGTTTCCTCCATTCCCTGTTGCCTGCTGCTCTCGTCCGCTCTTCAACACAAATGAGAATGCACTTATGAAATGTTCCAATATATAGGCAGAAAAAAAGAGAATAAATCAGACAAATTAACTTAAGAGGTTTGATGTTTACTTCGTCCTCGAGGATTCGTGGAAGGACCACACCCGTCCCCCTGCACTCCCTCGCTGAACCGGCTCGTGCAGAGGGAACGAACCGGCCCTGGACCGGGCGGATCGGCCGCTGTAACACCCCAACCGTTCATCAAAACATCGACAGGAGGGAACAAGGCCGCATTATGATGAAGCAACAAAGCAAAATAAGGAAACCGGGTCAACTAAGATGAGGTAGTAGCCAGCCAAATATGATGAAACATCGCCAGCCAATGCGTCATTTCTTTGGCCTTCCACGAGCATTAGCATTAACTAAGATGAGGTAGTAGCCACGTAATCAATACCCATGAAGCCTTTTTAAAAGGATCAAAGGCATTAATAATTAAAGGAATCGAAATCAACTATATTCACATCCCTCACGAGATACACGAATAGACGGATGCGTTTGGATAACATTTATATTTTTAATCTCAGTAAAAATGAGATTACTAAATCTATTTGATGACCACCATTAGGTAAATATGCTTGGAAGTAACCATTTTGGCATGCAGAGAGAATGCTCCAAACAAATATCAACCATTCATGATTGCAAGCTTGATTCCAATTGAATACAAAATTGCTCTTCCTCTGCTTAGTTGATATATGTTCCGTGGAACAGTGTTGACTGATATTTTTATTCAGCAAAAAGATCCATCAGCACAAAGATCGAAGTAGTTACCTCCTCAGACATCATCCTCCCTATAAATCAGGTATGCATTGCTGCAGCAAAAACTGAATGCCAATGCCCTCCCAGCAGAGGTCGGAGGCGAGAATGCACACTGCGAAGGCTCTAATATATTACCTGCCAAGAAACTCTTCCTGTAGCAGATAAGAGCAAAAATTAGCCCATATAAACATTATTTCAAGTTACGTGTTATAAACAAACTGCCAATAAATCACAAGAAGAATGTTGCAAACTAAAGAAACTCCATGGAGTCATGGCAAAGTTGATATGAAATTGAGTCTATGCACACATGACAATGAATGTCATAAGTGGAAGATTTGTCTACTCTTTAACCAAAAATTTTCAAATAGCTTTGATATAATCTTACAAGGGAATTAACATCATTTATATTAGACAATATCGACTGAGTTATGGCCACAGTTCAATCGGACAAATACCTTGCAGAATCCAAAAGTTGAGAGGCTATCCGCTTCTGTCTCTGGGATGGCACAACCCAGATGGCCCTAAAGCCACAGAGAGCAGGCACAGATTCCTCCTCACAGAGAACAGCTCCGGTTTCCCATTGATCAACCCGGGTCTTATTTGTCAGACCACTTCTTCTGGCAACATCTCTCTTAAAGCTAAACCCTCCAAATTGTAAGTTCGTGCATTGCCTTTCTAAATTCTGCGTCAGTTTGCCTGAAGATGTCTTCTCAAAGTTACCATTAGAAGATTTGCCAGAGAGAGAACTCGGTATGACTCTATGTGCAGCTTTTATAGGTTCGGCGACAAGGCAGCCAATGATCCGATGATTCGCAATAAACAGATAAACCTTCATCCAACATCAAACTTAAAACGCATGAGCAAATTGACAGCATATATAATTTATTTCTACTTCGTAGATTGATCACCTTGCAAAGCTTGTGGAGAAGGTGACCATCAGTAAACCCAAGCTCCTTCTCCATTGTCTTAAGCACTTCTTGGACCTGAGAACACGGGAAAAGGGTTTGGGATGCTGGAATGTTGATTAATCTATCTCTATCATTTTAACAAACAGTTTGCGAGCACTCAAAAGAAGAATAAGTGACCTTGCGCGTGTGAGACGGAGGATCACCATCAACCACCAATAGAATGCGGCCGCCGTCAACACTAGTTGTCGTCGAGATCACCCTCTCGTCGCGCCAGCCCTGCAAATCAAATTCGACACGCTACAGAACAACAACGAGCAGCGGATGTAGAAACAACCCGATTAATTGCATTGAAAACCGGAAGGACCTTGAATTGGATGCCGTCGTAGTAGTTCTTGTGGAAGGACCGGTGGAACTTCTCATCGGCCTCATCCCCGCAGGCGTACATCATTCCGCAGACGGAGCAGGAGCGGAGAAGGAAGTCGGACTGCCCCAACTCCAGATGGTACTGCGCGTAGCTCCGCTTCTTGTTAAGGACCTTGCCGACGGACTCGGACGATGAAGTCGCTGGCCCACTCGACGCCTTCGCCTCTGCTTCCCCTCGATTCTTTTGCTTCCCGCCATCGCAGTCGCTGCTCGATTGGAATTCGCGAACATGAACGCCGACACGCAAAGATTAGACGAATCAGAGACGGAGGGAACAGATACCTTCGATCAGGGGAGGGCTTAAAGAAGGCGCTGATCTTGGCCTGCTGCATCTCGGAATCGGGAGCAAGCAATGAGGAGGGAGGGGCGCCATGGCGAGTTTGATGTCCCCTTATCTTTTCGCCTTCGGGGATTTCGAAAATTTTGCCGCTTCCCGCCCTTTTTATTTTTGTTTCGGTCGTGCCGCCCTCGCGGCGTCGATATCGGATCGGGAATCCGGAATTGAATCCGGCTCCGGATGATATATTTTATTTAGTTCTATTATTCCTTTTTTATTTTTTATTATATTTAACATTCTTTTGCCATTTCCGGTTAAAATTTTTTAAAATATATATATATAATAATAATAAAAGAAAAAGAATGGTGCAATTATTAGACCCGCATAAGCTGCATCAAAGACTATTGCGTACCCAAGTTGTGTGCTTCATGCATACACTGACCATGCTGTCAAGACTGCTAGGACAGCTCGGAGTGCAATCTTACACCATACTCCAACTCTTCGAACATTTCAGGTAAATTGACACCAATCAGTAGCAAAGCTATGCAGGTAATAAAGCAACATGTAAATAAATAGAAAGGGTATGACACACCTCCTGGAAGCATTCATTAGTGTTGTCCCAAACTATGCTTCAAATAAACCTTCAAAAGTTTTGAGGGGATGTTCTTCAAAGTGAAGAAAGCGAAACAATTATTTATTCGCTTATTTTTCGTTAATGGGTTTCACAAAACCTCAAATTCGTGATTTCCGTGCTCAAGCATTTTTGGGCCGTCGTTATTGAGCCCCACCTGGATATGCGTTTTGCTCACGAATCACGGACCAAGGTAGGTTGGTAGATGATTGGGTAGGCACAGATATGTATGTAAAATATGCCGTGCGAGTTTAAACCATTTCGGATCTCTCTCGTTAACCTATAACCAATAACTTATAACCTATATACATATACATATATATATACATGTATATATACATATACATATGTAAATATACATGTATATATATATATATATATGTATATATATAACCGCCATGTCTCCTCTTCCGTAGAAAGCTTTGCGCCGTTCTCCATCTCCTCCCTTCGTCTCCACAACCACGGTCGTGTTCGTCGTCGCCATCAGAGATCAGATCATAAGAAGCAGTAGTCGATCCCATCGCCTTACCGGTTGATCCTTCGTTTCTTGATCGTCTTTGGCGTTTCTTCTCTCGCGATGACGGCGACCGCTGGTAACCACCTTTGCCTCCTCTTGATTCTCTCTTAGATTTTGTTCTTACTTATAAAGAGTGTGCTCTGATCAATCTTCTTCGTCTCGTCTCCGTCAAACCTCTCTACCGGGGATCGGGATCGATACCCCATTTCTCGATCTTCTTTGATGCCTCTTTCCCTGATGTGATGGTCGTCAGTGAACCTTGTTTCCTATCGTTATTCCTCTCTTATAGTTCTTCCTATTCCTTATTCCCCTCTTATTGTTCTTGATCTTGCATACGAATAGTGTGTTTCTGTAAGAACTTATTTGGCCTCTGTGTGAAATTTATGGCGTATAGGAACTTATTTCCTCAAAAAAATTTCTGATCCAAAAAATATGAACTGGGATATCTTTTTTGTGATTCATTGATGTTTCCGATACAACGCACGCAGTCCTCCCCGCCCCACACCCCCACCACCACCCCCCCCACCCCCCCAACCCAAACCAAAAAAAAAAAAAGAGATCCTATCTATGGTTTTACATCCAGAAATCATGCATCAATTACAAAAACCTAACATCCTATTGGCAAAAAAGAAAAACTAACATCCCACAATTGTCCTCTCAAACCACTATTGTCGAATCATCTTCGAGCTGGAACTCAGTTACTCTACTCCTCCATCAAAAAGAAAGAAACAGAGCTTACTGTGGCATCAGTTCAACCTAACAACGCTTATTCCCAATAAATTTAATGACGCAATAACCAATTGCCATGCCAACAACATTCAAGAGACAACAGTTGCACAAATGCTCAGAGAGGTAGAGAGATGAAGACAAACAATTAATGCCCTTGTTCTAGTGTCAAAATATTAGAGAATAAATATATTGTAGCTGATGAGTCAGTACGGCCAGGTCTGCGAATCGATGTCGGGAGTCTTCTGTCGGCTGAGCTGGATGCCGAGGTCGATCGGGCCCTCGCGGTAGGGTGTTGATCAACGTTCCTCGGTGTGCCGATCCGAGCGTCGTTTATGCCGAGTCGTATCTCTTCGTCTCCGGGGTAGTTGGTAGCTTGTCTAATTACACTGGATGGCGATTCCCAAGTTGAGACAATCGCGGGGCGTGGGTCGTCGCTTTCCTACAAAAATGGCCTTCGTCGGATGATTCTCGACTTTGGCCCTTCCAACAAGCAAGTTCGCGAGTCGATGTCGGGAGTCTTATGTTGGCTGAGCTGGATGCTGAGGTCGATCGGGCCCTCACGGCGGGGTGTTGATCAGAATTCCTCGGTGTGCCAATCCGGGCATCGTTTATGCCGAGCCGCCTCTCTCCGTCTCCGAGGTGGTTATTCGCTTGCAAAAACTGCCCTCGTCGGGTGATCCCTGATTGTGGCCCCTCCAACGAGCAAGTCAACGGAGTATTCAATTGATTTTTGCCTCTCTTCGGGGTCAGACGTCGGCCATAGGTCTTTATATTATTATACGAGGGTCGATCATACGCGGGTTGGCATGGTGGACGTGTCGAACAGTGCCTTGATACGGATTTTGACTTGGAGTGTCTTGGGGGCGGCGCCATCTCGGGATTCCCGGGACGAGACGTGCCGAGCAGCGCCTTGATACGGATTCTGACCTGGCGTGTGGTATCGGTTGTGACGTGTCTTATGCCCAAAATATGTCTTATCACCGGGCATGAAGACAAATTCTCGTCAAGTTAACGTACGAACTTGTGAAGATTTTTCAATGCCTGACAATATACCGAAACCTCATCTAGTCCTGTGCCACCTTGGGGTTTCCAGGGTGCTAAAATAGCTGACGTTTTGTGTGCAGCTATGCCTTACAGAAAATAAGTTGTGGCACGCGAAAACGGAGCCATTTTGTGGTAGTTCGGCTCGGCGCGCTGAGCGATTGTATTGTAGCACTTCAACATGTTCGAACATGTATTTTTATAAGCAAAAATACATAAAACCAAGGCAAAATAGGCTATCATGTCTCTATACAAGCATACAAAAGTGTTGAACGATTCGTTGAACGAAATAGTTGTGGGTGTGCGATGACAGTCCGTGACAGTTCGCTCTTAATTTAAATTTTATTTTGTAACTCAAATTAGCTTTCATAGATACACAAATACATCGGTATTCATAGGCTTCGTAAATATATCTACACCTTAATCTTTACTTCTGTAATATTTCATCTCGATTACTTTACTCTTCACTTGATGTTTGAGGAAATGATATATCGCATAAATGTATTTGCTTCTATCACGATTGACTGGGTTCTTGGATAACTTCATAGTTAGAGTTATGACAAAAAATCTTGGTCGACATATTTTGTTTGAATCCGAATTCTTCTAGTAGATTTCTGAGCTATACAACTTGAGATGCACATGTAGCTATTGCAATATAGTCTGCTTTTATTGTAGATAGTGATACAATTGGTTGTTTCTTATAACATCATGAAATTGCTCCAGATCCCAAAAAGAATATATATCCAGATGTACTCTTTCCACTAGCAATATCTCCTGCATAATCACTATCAATAAATCCAGTCAAATAAGAATTTTCTCTTATCATAAAGAATACTGAAATCTCGAGTCTCATTCAGATAATGCAAGATTCTCTTTACTGCCTAAAGATGAACTTCTATTGGATTCTTCATATACCTGCTTATTAAGCTGACTCCATATATGATATCTGGTCTTGTTACTGTCAACTACATGAGACTACTAACTATCTACCTGTAATAAGTAATATCAATCTTTTTACCATTTCCAGCATAACTAAGCTTTAGACTACATACAACTAGAGCACTAACTTGCTTACTTTTGTCTATTTTGAATTTATCAAGAATTTTATTGGTATATATCTTTTGTAAAATGAAAATGCATGTATCTTGTTGTTCAACTTTAATACCAAGAAATTAATTCATTAGTCCTAAATTAGTCACATCAAATTCTTTATTCATGGAGTTTTGATATTCATGAATCATATCATGATAATTACCCGTAAAGATTAAATCATCCACATATAAGCAAATAATTAATATCCTACCTGCATCTTTTATGTTTTGCAAGTAAAATATGCTCATAAGGACATTTTTCAAATCCATGTGTTTAAAAAAAATGAATCTATACAACTATATCATGCTCGAAGTACTTGCTTTAAACCATATAAAGTCTTCTTTAATTTATAAATTTTCTTTTCAGAACCATTTAACACAAATCCAGATGGTTGTTGTATATAATTTTTTTTTAATTCACCATGTAAAAATGCTGATTTAATATCTAATTGATCAATTATTTTGAGCTGCAAGAGAAAGTATTAATCACAGTGTTTTGGTGCAAATATTTCATCATAATATATTCCTTTATTTTGCTTTAAGTTTTTTGCAATGAGGTCTGGCCTTATATTTCTCAATAATATTTTCTTGCTTTAAATTTATTCTTTAAATTCATTTTTCACCAATGGGTTTACGCTCTTGTGGTAAGTCAATTAATTCCCAAGTTTGATTCTTCTAAATGGAGTTAATTTCTTCTTTCATCACCTTTTCTATTTTTCATCACTTGATGCCTCTTCAAAAGTGATTGGATCACCATCAACAAACTATGCAAAGTGTATTAGAATATCTTCGACTTCTTCATCAATAAATTCAAGAACATCAGTCACATAGTCTTTCATCCAGCCTGATTGTCTCCTTGTTTTTTTGGAAGTTGTAGGAAAATTTGTTCTAGTTGGCATGATAAATGTAGGTGAACAACAAGCAGAAGAACAAAATTAGTATATCAGATGAAGAATTATTTTCAGCTGAAGCTTTATAAAGAGAACCAACTTCAAATGAATATACAACTTTATCATCTATAATTCCCTTCTCTTTGTTGCTGCTAACTTCAACATTTGCAACTGCAAATTATCAAAATAAAATTTATCCAAACACTAACAACCGAGTTCACTAAATCGATTTTCATAAAATGTTAATTATATTTGAACAATTCTAAGTATTTATGCCCAAGTAGTTTTTCGCAACAGGGTTCGAGATTTAAGAAACACAAGTTCCATCAGTGCTGAGGAGAGAAGAAGAGAAGAATAGATGAAGAAAACACAATAGGAAACATCCGAATTCCGGAGAAAACCGCGGAAGAGGTAAACAGATGAAACATCAGTGCACCGCATCACAGATGCAGAGAAACCCAACTCAAGTATTTATTCAAAACAAATCTAATCACGCAATACCCCGTTGCCAAATGCAACTCATAAGTATTTATTCAGAAACAAAAGATCCACCCGTGCTAAAAGAAAAGAAGAGATAAACAGATGAAGGAAAATACAATATGCAACATCGAAGATCTAGAGAAGGCCAACTCTTAATCACGCAAAAACCTGAGTTCTAACTACTCCAGGTTTCAAGATTCAAGAACGACACCTCTACCGGTTCGGGCGCTCCGCCGGTCGCGTTGCCGGGAGGGACGTCGAGGGCGTCACTGAAAAGACGGATCTCTGCGCCACGGCGTCCCGCTACCGGCTAAACTAGGTAGACGACAGCTTCGCCGGGGAGAGGCCAGTGCTGTCAAAGGAGAGAGAGAGAGAGGCGCCTGATGAGCATTTGCACCGATCGACGAGCAAAGGTAAGGAAGGGGAAGGGGTGGAAACCCCAAGGAGCGGAGGAGGGCAGGAGCGTCCTTGCACTCGCTGCTGGCGCCTTTTATACCCTATCATCGACAGATGACCAGATCTAGAAGCTTCCGGTAAGTTCCTCCCAATAACTGTCTCGGCTGATCACAAATCCATAACGCATTGAATACGTACACGCGTATAATATACCCATTTAAACGATCTGTATACCAAGACATATATCGGGCATGTTCCAGGAATATTATATGCATGTCCCTACCAAACATTAAAATTAACCTTATATGCCCCCTTTAATTAGCGTGCGCCAAGAAAACACTTGGGCCGACCCACAAGCAAAACTCTTGGGCTCATCAGAGCATATCAAACCTCGGCTCCGAACCCTTCCGGCTGTAATGATCACCGTCTTCGACCCTTGTCGATTCTGCCGTTCGATTCATCAGATGGATCCATCTTGTCATCTCATGTGGTTGTTTGGAAAGTGAAAGACGTGAATGCAAGCGCAGGATCACCGTCTTCGACCCTTGTCGATTCTGCCGTTCGATTCATCAGATGGATTCCACCATCCTGTCATCTCATGTGGTTGTTTGGAAAGTGAAAGATGTGAATGCAAGGGCAGGACTCCCTCACTGTGATGGAAGTGACTTGGGAGTAGGCGTTCCTGTCAAGAGAGCATAGAGTGGCAATCCCACACCACGCGTCTGTACTGCGTCATTAATGCATGGGAATGTGCGCATCAAGTTTGCAGGGCAGACAAAGAGTCCTGCAAGTCCACCATGAGCATGTGCTCTGTAGAGCCCCCCCCCTCTCGAAGCCTTTGTCCCAACCTTAACTCTGATCACGAAGAACAGTATTCCACTGTCGTCGTCGGGACCTCCAAATCCGCAACGCTGGCCTTTTCTCCGGTCCTTCAACTCCTCAAAGTGCCACGGCCAGCCATCGGAAATGGCCCACGCCCACCACTTTTCCGCTGAATTATTGCAGTACATTACCTCTCAGCAGCAGCATCATCATCCACAACGAACGTCGCATGGCCCCTCCACTGCCCACCCCCATGATATCTGTCCTTGTCCTGCAGCTCCATTTGACAATGATCTATCTGATTTGGTTCTTACTTTGGTACCCTCCTTTCTAACCCAACTCCTTGTAATTATAACCCACATGTACTGTACTGTTGTTTCATGCAAACAAAGTACGTGAAGGCCCAACATCAGGCAACATGTATAAAAATCTTCCATAGTAATGATTGGTATCTATAATCCCAAATAAGTGAAACGTTATACATTTCATGAACTTTATGGACTAGGCTTCTAACCCAAACACCATACCCCAATCATATAATTCTATCTAGTATAAGACCCTGTGATCTTAAACCTTTCTTCTATCCACTATAACGACTCACTAACTTCTACTTTACCAGATATGTATGACACGTACGATCCAATATAGACATGCACTTAAACCTATGATGCCTGGTAGTAGTTCAGCAGCAAACCTCGGTCTGCCCTGAATGCAGCATTGGAAGAATGTGCAGCTGCTGTGTTGTGGTTGAGACTGCAGTAGTCACTGCCCTCACTGCTCGTCTCCAGCCTCCTTCCCAGTCGCATGCTGTCGCTGGATAGAAGGGATGCTTGCGCTCCCGACAGGGGAAGGTTCCCACTGTGTTGAAGGCCAAGAGTGAGGGACACACCATTGCCCGAGAACCTCCGAGAGAAGTGCTCCGCATCAAATGTTCTGAGCTCTCCCATGGGATAAGCTCCGTAGTTGCCGCCATGGCTTGTGGTGCCTGCTAACAATGGGTAGCCTTGCTCCCCGACCCCCTGTCTCCCATCCATCAACTGCATTAGGATCTCATGGTTGCTCGTCTCGTCCGGTTTCGATCCAACAGTGAGAGGATTTGCCATGGGATTTACGTGCGGCGAGTCGTTGCTTCTGGCCTTCTTGACCCTGGGTTGTGCGATCGCGTCCCTGTCGTAGTAAGCCTGGTTTTGGCCGTGAACGAAGGATGATGGCTGCACTGATGCCAGAGTTTGCTTCAGGTCATTTTTTAGGCTGTCGGACGGCGGTGTTGCTGTCGGGCTTCCTTCCTGTGGAGCGTTGGACTTGGATGTAGAGCTTCCATGAGCGTCGCTCTTGCTTGCGTTCTCATCGGAGTTGTTCTGCTCTTGATCTTTGATCTCTTCCAAGTACATCTCCTCCACCATCGGCTTCCAGAGCCTCACTCTCGCGTTTATGAACCAATTGGAGACCTGAATCGACAGAGGAGACAAGAACAAAGCACCGGTTTCCTTATCATAATCTGCAACCTCGTTACGGGAGGAAGATGAGTAGGCACGGCGACGTTCCCAGTACCTGGCTCCTCGTGAGTCCTGTTTGTTTAGCCAGCATCATCTTGTCCGAATCCTTTGGATATCTGCATCAAATCCACAGTTCATTTCACCGACAACAGTGGGAGGAGAGTCGATCTGAGCACTTACGGGTGGAGAAAGTGTTCGAAGAGCCAAGCTCGGAGCACGGAAACAGAGCGTTCCGGCAGTCCTCTCTGAGGTCTCCAAGCGTTCGGCTGGATCATCCCCAGCTGCTGAAGTGCCCGCTGCTGTCTCAGATGATGATCGATGAACCGAAGCCGTGACCCTCCCGACTTACTTTCTTCCTCTCCCAGGCTCTTACTGGTTGCTTGGATTTGGCCAGTGATGGCGTCTCGGAGGCACCGGAACTGCTTCGATATTGTCCGAAGGGCGAGGGCGGTGTAGGTTCTCGCGGATCCATAGCCGGCAACAGCTTCGAATGAAGAGATCACAATTTGCATTTGATGGTGATACTGCCTGTACCTCTGTTCCACCTTTCAATCACCCAAAACCCAAAGTAGAAGGAGTAAGTCGACAGCTCAACGACCAAAACAGTAAGGAACACAACAGATGAGAACATCGAAGACGTCATATATATATATCTTCTCTGTTCTAAGCGCCAATTACTGGACCAAAACTACCATGAGCTTAAGGTATAAGGGAGTAGTTCTTGTGTTGCCAGTTCTGTTCCCTCTTAGATTAGATGTTCCTAATAACCAACTAAAATTCCCCGAAAAATCTGTGCTTTATTCTCGAAAATTGTTGGTAGTGACTTCAAAAAAATATTTTGTTCAAAAATTAGAAGAAAAAAAAAACTCTTTAAAGCATTTGTCATATGTATTATTACCTCGTCGAGCATGTTGATGAGTTTGGCCTTCTTCATCTGAAGCTCCTGCCGTTCTGCCGTCGTTAGATCTGCGACTTGCTTTTCCTTGGAGTTGTCGTCGGTAGCTCCCGCACCTAAACACTTTAGCTCCGCGTTGCTGCTGTCGGCAGGATCCTTGGAAGTCGCCCCTTTCGCTGGCTCGCTTTTGATCCCCTTCTCGACGTTAACGACCTCATCGAGCAGTTGTTGCGCTGCCTTCAAGTACTTGGATCCCATCAGAAAGCTCTGCGAGCCTGAGGCACCATTGGCAGCACCCGGCATCATGGACGCGGATGCAACGGTCGTCGCACCGTTGGCGCTGGCCGGAGTTATCTCCGGCGCAGGCGCCACCATATCATGCGGTGAGAGGCTGAGAGAGAGCCCTTGCTGTGCGGATGGCACGGCGGAGGGGCGCCGGGGACCGAATTGCGACGCCATGTCGACGGGGTTGCTCGATGTGGCCGGTGTCCAGAGGTTGTAATGAAGGCGGGGGATCAGGCCTTGGACGGCGGCCGACAGATCATGGGGTGCATGGATCGGTGGTGGGCGGTAGGATTCATGGGGTTGAGCTGCTGTTTGAAGCGGGATCCCGACGAACTGCTGCTGCTGATGATGATTCGGCTGGCTAGCTTGTGCGAGGTTGATCGGATTCATGGAATTCAGCGTGGAGTTCAGGAGGACCATGTTGGCGGGAGCTGCTGCGTCGGAGTAGCCAACGTAGCTGGGGTTCATGAGGTAGAGGGTCTGCAGGCCATCCGGCTGGATCTCCGGGGCTCCATGGAAGTACGTCGCCATCGAAATTCCCCGAAGAAGAGATCAAGATAAAGGTGTTCTAATCGCACCGGTCGACGGCGAATTGTCTCCTCGGGGAGAGATAATGACTGCAGCCCGAGTGGCTGGGCGTAATATTCTCCTGCAGAAAAGCAAGGAAAAAAAGCATGGAGATCACGAACATGGATGATCGGATGAATGAATCGAACAAGACTCGGAGAACAACGGTTGGAAATACGTTTCAATATGATCAAACAAATACCGTTGACTTGATAATCCTTGTACTGCAAAGCAGCCTAGAGAAGAGCGTCGTCGGATGAACTGATGAGATCGACGAGAAAGATAGAGCGAGTCGGATGGTGGCGGCGCTCGGCTCAGTCCAACAGCACAGGAAGAACCCATTCCGCGAACTCGAACGCTTCCTATAGATCGAGAGAGGATAGGAAGAAGAGGAGACGGAGATCAGGTGCTAAGAAAGAAAGGCGGCCATCTTTATCAGCTGAGACAACCGAGTATTTTTTTTCGCAGGCAGTACCTGAGAGAGATGATGAATCCCCATGAGCACGTGGGAAGATATAAGAATGGAACTTGGGGAAAGGCCTCTTCTTTCTTCCCTCTTTCTTAGGAGCTCCTACTTGCCCTCCATCAAAAGATCTCCTTCTCAGAAGAAGCAAGCTGAGAGCTACCAGAGATTTGAGTTGAATAACATAAAGGAAATAGAGTCTTAGCAGCCTCTCTCTCTCTCTCTCTCTCTCTCTCTCTCTCTCTCTGCCTCTTTCTCTCTCTTCTATTGAAAAAGAAAAGAAATAAAGACAAGCATTTATAAGCTCTCAGGAAAAGAGATGCCATCTTTCACTAGCTAACATTATCCATCACTAGCCCTCAAATTTCTTTTCCTTTTCCTTTTTAGAAAATGGCAGTACTTTTGGGGTTGGGGATACGGGCACAGTTTAAGCTATCATGAACCCATGAAGAGGAGTGAGCGTGGGGTGTTGGTACCTGCGAGTGGATCAAAAGAAAGCAAGGCCTGGTTGATTTGACGTACTCTACTCCTCATCATTGGATACAGGAGCAGTCGATGATGAGAGAGAGAGAGAGAGAGAGAGAGATAACAAAGGGAGATATAGGTAGCCATAAAAATATTAATCTACAAAGACATCGGTATAAGTTTGGGAGAGAGATGATGAAGGTGTCAAAGAACTGACACAAGTGTCAGAGGGGACAAACAGCTGAGAAACGAGGAAACGTCGACTTCCACAGAGTTGATTTTTATACGAAGATTGCAGAAAAAGATAGAGCTTCTTCTTCCTCTCTCCAAAACAAATAAAAATCTCGTTTTTTCGGCTTTTCTCTCTCTCTCTCTCTCTCTCTCTCAAGGCTACCTAATTCTTAGATTCTTTATTTGTGGTTGGATGCTGGGGTTGGAAGATAAAGCAATCGAAAGCCAAGCAACCCAACCAACGACCAGCATTACACCAGCAAAGCGAGAATATTATTTTTCCGGGCAACACTGGGTTTGATGCAGTGGATGCCAACCAAACGAATCCTGATGCCCTATCTCTACTTCTCATATATATGGAAGTAGATGACACCCAAGGCTGCTCATCTTCCCCTTTTCACCGTGTGCTCCTTCATGTTTCTTCCAGATTTACGTGGTCCGTGTGCGTGTTCATGCTCACGGATGCGTACGTCCGTCTCTATGTTGTCCGATCGCTTCTGTGTTATTATTGTAATGGTGGCACTCGATGCAGGGGCACTTTTTGTGTAAGGTCGGACGGTTCCAATAGTAATAGCCCATCATTTAAGGTTACTGTCCTATCATTCCTTTGTTTACTGCGGCAGTTCCTCCGTCTGGAGCGACACTTTTCTTTCGGGAAAGAGACTGAACACAAAGATGGCATGGCCGATCTTTCGAGCTCTGAATTCATCTTTCTATACATATATATATATTATATAGCCTTTCGAAAACGATGAGGACATTTCCAAATCAATCACAGCTTGACAACAATAAACAAGTCACTTTGTGGGTGGGAGAAAGTTGATCTCATGTCAAAGGAAACATAGACAACAGGAGTTAATCGAATGCCTCCAAGCATTGTGTATACATGCCATTATCTTAAATCGCTCTCCGAAGCTTTTAGTTGTCGATGGCAGACACATTCTGCCGAGGAAAACGATGCCAAACTCGCTGGTTATTTAACTGTGAGTGTCTTTGCACTTTGCTTTCACTCAGCTCAGGAGGTCTTTGCTTTCCGTATCGAAAATGATATTAGGATGAATACATTTTTTATTAACTTCAGTTTAAATATTTTTAAATTAATAATTTAAGTTTATCGAAGTTAATAGATTAATTATTTTCATCAAATCGGATCATGACGAAACATGATCTTCTTTTTCTTTTGCTTTTTCTTATGCATGAACAATAATTTTGGTTGACTCAAAATATTCTACCACCGATGGGTCTTATTTTATTTTTTTGTACATTTAAGACATAAAAAAATTATTTATCATATCGAAGATGATGGAATACATAGTCAAAATTCTACTAAAAACAAAAAAAAAGAGGCATCTGATACATGTTGAAAATGAAATTTCTGTTTATGCTAATCTAAATTAGCTTTGATGGCAATTTGGCAGCTCGCAATGAATTGTCGGTCAAACAGTGTGTCTTTTGGAAATATACTTGAATGGTGCATTCATTATGTGGGTAGGAGTCTTATCAGAGAGCACATGAACTATTGGTTCAGTGCACTTATGCCATACAAGTCTTCTCGTTGGTTAGCTTAACATTATCCAGTAGTATTCAGATTGCAACAAGCATTTATAGGAGTCATATTCCCAGCACAAGAAATTTCAGATATTGTGTTAGGAGCTTATTGGAAGAACAATTCTTTTGTGATCTCTCTTACCTTTTCATTGTATAATTAGACAAATCAATCTTACAATAAATAATAATAATAATAATAGTAATAATAATAATAAATAATAGATTTGAAATGTCCAAAAAAGATTTACTAATATCCAATCAATCTATTTTTTATGAACCGAAAGAACCAATTGTTGGAAAATATATCCTTGTATTTTTTATTTTTGCTCTAACCATTTTTCTTTTTCATTTTGTATTTTGTTTTTCTCTATAGATTCTCGATGGGATAAAATAGGTACTCACAATATCTATTTCTCTCTTAGATAATCTCTTAACTCCTACACCTTCTTCTCTCTTAGGGTGAGTTGGTACCTCTTGATCTATCTTTTCAAGATCTAATTTGACCTTGAGGATTTAATTTGTAAGATCAATACTGAAAAATCTCTTGAAAATTTGGATATTAAGAAATCATAGAAGATATACTTTCATATGATAACCTATAATCTCTTAGACCCCGAATTTGATCTTCTTTTGAATCTATCTCATCTCTCTATTTTGATTTAATATTCCAAACACTAATTGATCTAACAAGAACATGTTGTACTTGAGCATCTATCACAAAAGAAAAGTGAAAAAAACTAGCTTTAGTATACACATAACAGCGGTTGACCTTGTAATAGTAATTAAAAGGGGCATCTAGAGCATGAAATCAAGACATGACTATATATATATATACCTATTGGTTTCACCATTATCCCTCTAAGGACCTACGACTTGAGTAGGACGGTCCGATTTCAATAAATGTTCCTTTGTTCAAACAAATTAAGTAATAGTAATATTCAAAATGATAGTAATTTGTAGTTGTTATGATTGTAGTCGAAGCATCATATTTTATACCCGATGTGAATGTATAAATATGAAGTAAATGATATGTGAAAATAAGATAATAGTATGTAATTAACTTCTCCATATACAATACAACAACTAGCAATGACAGAATATATAGAAACCCGAAACTCATAGAGAGACAGGGAATGGTTAGAAATTGAATGATGATTTGTTTGAGTTAAATGAATGTGAGTTAACATAGATCAAATTTGATATAATTTAACTCAAAAATCTAAAATTTTAAATTATATATCAATAATTCATTTTTTCAATTCTTAATAATGTTGGACTATTCTAATTCCTTATCCAACACACCTACAAAAGGAAAGTTAATTTTCTTCCATTGAATATCCCAAGTAAAAGACTTTAATTTTTGAAAATGATGGAACTCAAGAGGTGTAGTAAAAATGTAGTAACTTAATCTTCGGTCCTTGTTTTTAGCATGTCTAATACCAATGTTTATATACAATGGACATTTTGCAAGTGATATAATCTATTTATTGTTAATTTAAATCTTGAAGGTTCTTTATGGAAATTGGACCGTCTTTAACATATGTTTTTAAAAATATTTGTGTATTTAATATAAAAGGAGATGAACTAAGAGAATAATCTCATATTTCTAGGAATTGAAAGAGTCAAAATATCATCTATACTGTACTCGGTCCACAACACAATAAGTGTATATTTTTGGATTAAATTAATATCATATTAATCCTTCGAATATACAATAAGTGAACAATAATTGATTGATAATGTAAAGTTACTCTGGCAAAATTCATGTGAGTACATTTAAATTCTTCCATTAATCTGTTAACTTTGAAGAGTTCCAATTAGATTCTTGAAAATATCTTCCTTATCAAATAAATTTCTCACCTAGAAAAGATTTAAAAAAAATGAACACTACACCTCACGTTAGCTTATCCAAGCAATCATACAAAATACCAAAATACATACTTAAAAATATTTATAGTAGAAAGAAAATGAAATAAATGAGAAGATGGAGCATAGATTATCTTAATGGTTTAGATAACATCTATTATTATGGACAAATATCATTAACATCCTAGTAATCTAATGTGGTTCAGACCTGTGTATGTAGGTTTGTACGAGGTGCCTCCAAGGTGAAAACACATAATTGACTTAGAATTTTTTCTGAGGAAGTGAATATATTACCAAATTGAAATTGTTAGAGATGGTTAAGATTATCTTCTTCGAAAATATTCTATATAATATATCATTTTTTTTGCTATTAGATATAAGAACTTAGTTTTAACATAGTCAAAGGATTATTTTTTTACTATTAACGACTGTATTAATGATTATTAACTTAGACGTCAAATGAATCTAACTCGAAAAATCTTTTTGGACCTTAATTTTTTACAGGTGGTATGTCACCTCGAAGGTATCTTAAATAATTCTATATATACGAATCTAAATCACATCAGATTGACTCGAACATTCGTAATATTTTTTTTTATAATTTTGATCATCATATCATAATGGTTGTTTGTTTTTTCTCGCTCGTAGAAGGAAGAAAAAAAGTTATGGGAACCAAAGTGGGGTCTCTCCTCATCAGCAAGAAGATGTGACCTTAAATGTGATGTCCTTTGTATGATCCCTTTTCTTTTATGAAGTCCTCTATCAGACGCAACCCCCCATCCCATGTCTTGAGATATTTTTTGTGTTGGTCTTCCACAGCCACAAAGCCATATCACTCACTGCTTTCCAACTTGCAGCAACATTGCACTACTCTCTCTTGACTCCCACAGCTCAAACCTTTTCCAGCCTCCTTTATATCCTCTCCCTCCTTTTCTTCTTCTTCTCTCTTGTTTATCTTTATTTGGTGTTACTTACGGTCACCACTTTGTCCAGACCTTTTCAAGTCCCTCAACCGGCCAGCTCACAATGACACACCTTTGGGGTGGAATGGGATCTTCCACATTGACACCTCTCCCCACCTTTAGATCATCTACCATCTGTAACAATGGCTTTCTCATAGTCTCACACAAATAACAC